TTGGCACAACAGGCTTTACTTCATTTGCAATCTTATCAGAGAAAAAACAGACAGTACGTTTGTGGTCAGTGACTGGTTCTGGAGCTGGGTTTGAGAAACGGAAGTTAAAAGGTTTCACACAATGATGCTGAAAGGGTTTAGCTGTTTACAGTTTTAGATAAGCTTTAACAGAGTGTGATATAAAGTAAATGACTAATAAGATTGATGATAAAATTGATGAACAAAATAAACTGGTATCAATGTTTACAAAGTACTGATCCTTTCTGAGACTCAGAGCTAAAACTTCAGGCAAACACTTTAATTATCATTTTACTGTAATTTGTATAAACATATCAAACTTTTATATTAATAACCCAGAAAATATCAACAAAACTTTTGATCTGTCATCTGTTATATTATGAATATAATATTGACATTTTCCATCTCCACATCATTGCATTCAGTTTTTATTCACAATTTGTTTAGTGTCCCAACTTTTTGGGAATCTGGTTTGTATATGCTTCCGTTAGGTAAAGTTATTAAACAGCTTGGGATAAATTGTCATTGCTATGCTGATGACACACAATTATATTTGTCCATTAAATCCAATGAATCCAATTCATTGGATTTAATGGACAAATTAAATCTTGTAGCTACTTAGACTACAAGAATGTCTTAAAGACATAAAGACCTGGTTGACTCTTAATTTTCTCCTGTTGAACACAGACAAGACTGAGGTTTTGGTTTTTGGACCTGAGCACCTTAGGAATGAATTTTTCAGTCTTTATCCCTCCTTAGATGGCATTAATTTATCCTCTAGCTCTAATGTTAAAAATCTTGGTGTTATTTTTGATCAGGACATGTCGTTTATCCCCCACATTAAAAACGTTACTAGAACTGCCTTCTTCCACCTGCATCCATCCATCCATCCATCCATCCATTTTCTTCCGCTTATCCGGGGTCGGGTCGTGGGGGTAGCAGCCTAAGTAGGGAGGCCCAGACTTCCCTCTCCCCAGCCACTTGGGCCAGCTCTTCCGGGGGAATCCCGAGGCATTCCCAGGCCAGCCGAGAAACATAGTCCCTCTAGCTTGTCCTGGGTCTTCCTCTGGGCCTCCTTCCGGTGGGATGTGTCCGGAACACCTCACCAGGGAGGCATCCAGAAAGCATCCTAAACAGATGCCCAAGCCACCTCAACTGGCTCCTCTCGATGTGGAGAAGCAGCGGCTCCACTCTGAGTCCCTCCCGGATGATCGAGCTTCTCACCCTGTCTCTAAGGTAGAGCCCAGACACCCTGTGGAGAAAACTTATTCCACCTGCATAATATTGCTAAAATTAGAAACATCTTATCTAAAAATTATGCAGAAAAACTGGTCCATGCATTTGTCACGTCTAGACTGGACTATTGCAATGTTTTATTATCTGGATGTCCAAATATGTCTTTAAAACGTCTTCAGTTGATCCAAAATGCTGCTGCCAGAGTCTTAACCAGAGTAAGTTGGAGAGATCATATTTCTCCAGTTTTATTTTCTCTCCATTGGCTCCCTGTCAAATCCAGAATAGAATTCTAAATCTTACAAAGTACTTCTAACCTACAAAGCTCTCAACAACCTGGCTCCATCTTATATTACAGATCTTATTGTTCCATATTTTCCTAACAGAGCACTTCGCTCTCAGGCTGCAGGTTTACTTGTGGTTCCTAGAATTTACAATAACAGAATGGGAGGCAGATCTTTCAGTTATCCGGCTCCTCTCTTGTGGAACCAACTTCCATTCTCCGTCCGTGAGGCTGACACATTATCCAGTTTTAAAACTAGGCTTAAGACTTTCCTTTTTGCTAAATCCTATAGTTAGGGTTGGCTTGGGTTTCCTGAGCTGCCTCTTAGTTATGCTGCTATAGGCTTAGACTGCTGCAGGACAAACTGACCGCAATTTTCACTCTGCTACTGTCTTTACTTACTCTGCTCAACCTGTTTTGTATTTGT